AGGGGGCCGGAGTCCCTCCGCAGGCAGATGGAGGCCCGCAACCCCGGCAGGAAAAGTGCGGTGGAGAGGCTGGCGGCCGACAAGGCCAAGTACGTGAAGAGCCAGCAGGTGATCAGCACCAAGCAGGAGCCCGTCATCCTGCTGAGCTCGGCCTCGGAGAACAGCAGCGAGACCTGCTCGGTGGAGAGCAGGAAGACCGGCAGGGAGTTGGGCAGAGGGAAACCCCTGGAGCTGGGGAAGGGGGTGTACACCTGCCGGGCCCCCTTGCAGCACGGCCCCCCCATAGCCAGGCGCAGCACCCCCAGGAGGCAGATGCGGCCGGATTCCCTGGTGATTTACCGCCAGAAATGCGAGTTTGGGAGAGGTCAGAGCCAGGATGGCCCACGGGGGAGCTTGGTGAGGAGGATCTTCCAAGGGTCTGTAAAGGAGAAGCAGCTGGCTTCCCCTGAGATGCCCAGAGTCATGGAGGACGCCGCGGCCACCGAGAGCAAAGAGCCTCTCTCAGCAAAACACAGTGACTGTGAGCCGAGCGACCACGGAGCGGAGCAAAGCGTCACTGTGAGCACCGAAGCCCCAGGGGTATGTACAAAAGAGCATGAGAGAGCCTCAAAACCGAGTATACCTCCTGAGGAGGTCAGGGAGGTGAAGAGGAGAGGTCTCCATCGCTCCCAGTCGGACATCAGCTCTCGCTTCTCCAAGTCCTTCTCCGAGTTTGATACATTTTTCAAGTACTGTGGCCTGGAGCAGGAGGTCATCGAGGATCTCGGGAGAGAGAACTTCTCTGTGGTGTCCGACAACGTCTCCTTCAAGATCCGCAGTATCAGTGTGGCAACGTCCGAGAGCGACTTCACAAGGCACAGTGGGGACGAGGGGCTGCTGGAGGATGAACTCACCGAGCAAGTCCCGAGCAGCACCTCCGTGATCGAGCGCAACGCTCGGATAATCAAATGGCTGTACACGTGTAAGAAAGCCAAGGAGACTAACAAGATGATCCAGGAACTGGCATGATGGCTTCTTTCAGCGTGCATTGCAGTCTGGTGAACTCAAGGTGTGTGCAAAGCCTCGCCCTGTCGATTTAAGTATTTCTCTTTCCTCTTTAGCGAGTGGTTGACTGTTCTTAGTTTATTTTAGTCTTTTCATGAAGGGCAGAAGGAAAATGTATTTTGTATATTACGTGTTCAAGTATGGCCTTTTTGCAAAGCAGAAACCCAGGTCGTTACAAAACCAAACTACAAACAAATAAATGCATAAAGCTTGCCAGATTTAGATCAGACCCCCCACATGAAGTTAGAGTCGCTGTCTATGAGAGACGTCTGTACTTTGCAGATTACTGCTTTGTAAATATCTTCGTTTCTCTCATTTCTGCTATATTAAATGCTAGAAAAAAAACTTAGAGAAGTATTCAACCCTTAATTACAGTTGCTTAGATAACAGACTGAACTGAAACTATTACTAATTAGGAGTACACTGTATTTATATTATGCTACTACAGCTTCCCTTTCCTTACTTTCCCTCAGTCTCACCATTCCCCTTCTGTTTGTATGCAGGCACCCCCAAGTATCAGGAAGGCAAAACTGAGTCAATGTGCCTGCTAGCACGCTGGTTTCCATCCCCAGCTTTCTGTCAGGACCATAAAAGTTTGTTCCAGGTGACCCCTCAGCATTTCAGAGGCTTTAAGTTTTCTGTCCTATTTGACTGTAGTGGATTTGGCTCCTCTCAAGTGGGTTTTGCTGTGCGGTTTGGCACCGGCAGCTGGAAATCAGCTATGCGGTTTTCCTTGGTTAGAGGGGTACTTCACTGTTTTCAACTAAAGATAATTAGTACAAATGTGTGGCATCTAGCCTTCGAAATCGATTACTTCACAGACAGAAGCAGAACAAACTTAGCCCTGGTAAAAGCCAATATCATGGTTTTAATAAAACCTGTATTTATTTTGCATCTGATCTCCTGAAAAGAACTGTATTCATGGGGCCTTTGGTATTGATGATCTAGTAGATAACAGTTTTTTCTTCTTGCAGTACACAAAGCCCTTAGGACAAATGCTGCAGCTTACAGTGTGGTATTTAAAAATTGCATGAACGGACCTTGATATGGAGGATTACGTGTATATTTTCTGACAGTTTGTAATTGGTGCGTGAGAAGAACATCGTATAGTGTAGGTACAGCTGTTGATAGAGTGTGGGCCTTAGGAACGTGGAGACATGCAGTGCTTGAGCCTCTTTCCTACCTAGATGTGGGACTATCACTCCCAATTCTTTTAATCATATGCAAAAATTCGTTTACTTACTTGAAATTGGTTTCAAATATGTGAAATTTGGATCACTTTTAAAATTTGGGGTTTTCTCAAAAGTTTATTTTCTTCCTGCTAGTTGAGGGAGGAGGAAGGGAGGGCGAGTGAGTGGTTTTCACACAGACATTTCAAGCCCTTGTAGATAAGAACAATTGTCAGGTATCTAGCTGGCAACTTAAAGAAGTGTTGTTATGTGACAGATCCTTTCCCAAATTACCTTAGAGAGAAGAAAGGGCCCTCCTGAGCTAATCATTTCTCCTTGCTCATCCTTCTGTGATAAAAGGCAAGGGAGACACGCAAAGCAAAATGATGCAGGTGGCGGTTTGTGAAGCTCATTGCAGCTGCCAGCCTTGCTAAACACAGAGGGTGGGAGGCAGATTTCACCGCAAGCAGGAGCCACATAACAAAACCAACCACATTTCCATGAAGGAAAACAAAATAAAAGCCTGTTTGCTCCTGAACACCCTTGTCGGGGGTAGGGTCCAGGGCCAGAACCGTGGTTGTCACCGCGGAGCCTGCTCAGGAGGGAGCAGTTGGCCCTTTCCACATCCATTTGAACGGTGCTAAGCATGCTGTGCCTCTGTTGCGACAGGAGATGCTGGTGATCACCCCAGGGAGCATGCAGTCTGCAGAGGTGAGGGGCAGGAGGTGCTTCACCAGGGCAAAGGCAAGGGCAGGAGGGGGGAAGGTCTTTTCCAGGGGTTGAGCTGGTGTAACCTCGCGTGGGCTTGGTCAATGGCTTTGACATCTGAGACAAAATGACAATTCATAGCACACAGCCTAACAGGATGGTGAAAAGACCTCCATGAAGTAAATAGCAAGTTTATTCAAGTATATGGTTATTTTGCAATAATTTTTAATACCTAGAACAAGGGAGCGCTTTACACTGGAAGCAATTTCCTTTGGCACCAAAATTTTTGGTAGTTTGGAAACACTGATCCATAGGGTCCATATTATAAACCTAGATTTAAACATACTGGGGCTGGCGCTCAGCTGATAGACCTCAGCAGTGGGGCTATGATTGCTTCCAGGCTAACTCCTGAAAACGAAGAATGTGCTTACCAATTAGACCACATGAAAAAGAAAGTTCAGAAAGGTCAGCAAAACATACCAGTGCACAGCACCCAGAATAAAGGATAAGAGCCATCAAGAACTGTCATAAGTTAAACATTACAATTACTGGGCAGAATTTAAGCTGAGAGTGGTTATCACCGCATGATCACAAGATGAGTCTTGTAGTTCTGGAACTGGTGTTTCCTTATACCCAAATGTTCATCTTTTCTTTCAGGCCTACACTATACGTATATATTTTCACTGTATCCATATATTTGGGTCTGTTTAGTTTGCTTACTGGTTATTAATAGGTGGTGGACTCCATGGGGAAGCAATGTGCTCTCCCTAGTGCTCCCAGCCACATCCTCAAAGGCTCCTCATTTTACACAGGGCTTGAAAATTGTTAGACATTCTTTGGAAAAAGGCAGAAACCTATTTTTCTAAAATCCAGCATTCATTCTGAGTAAAACACCTTTCAAGAACTGCAGGGCTTTTATGAGCCAGTGATCATCCCATTCATATTTTATGTTGTCCTTTTAATTTTTCATGAGCTCTCCAGGACCCGGTGGGGCACCATGTAAATAAAACAGCTATTTGAAGGATCAGGTTCCCTAACACGTTGATGATTGCAGAGTCTGAGCATGGATAGTGAGGTTTAGAAAACTGAGGTCCTCAGCAAGATGGGCATTGCTGCTTCTAGGTGGGACATTGCCTGGATTCACCTCTGCCATTCAGCTCCTCTCGCTGTCAGTCCTGCTTCACTCTTAAGAAGGGGGCCCACTCTGTGTCCTCCTTCCTGGGTTGAATCAAGATTATTCAGTCCTCAGTTTCAGCACCATTCTTAAATGGATGTTCATTATTCAAGTGGAAATCTCCCGAGAGGGGAATTTACTACATTGCCAATAGCCATAAGCAGCTGAATAAAAGCTTTAGAACATCACCTTCTGCTTGTCTGATGTGATAATAAATGACACTTCTTTTTTCCTCTTTCTTCAGAATCCTTGAGTTGGAAGTTGAACAAAACCAGACACAGGAAGAAACTCTTCCCTCATCTGGCTCATGACTACTTTGTCCAAGTTTAGTGTTTTATTGTTGCCTCCTACCCTCACCCCCGTCCCCTGGCAGCCTCACTCTTGTCACAAGCACAGGGGTGTCCAAGAGCACGATGGCAAGCAGAGATTGTGAACTGTGGCCCAGCGAGGCAGCGGGAAAGGAGAGCTCCTGGAAAAGTGACGCGTGGCAGCAGCTGCCATCCACGATAACATCCAGCAGCAGCTTACCGCCCCGGGATGCCACTCCAGGCTGTGACAGAAGGTCTGTGTTGTGCACCCGTCTCTTTCCAGCAAAGAATTTGCTGACAGGGAAGGGGGGAGAAAGTGGGAATGAAGTGGCAATGACCTCTGGGTCAGGTGTTTCTGTGCAGGCAGGCAGGCTCCACCCGGGCGTTCAAAGGCTCTGTCTTACCAGGGCTGTTTGACCAGGGCTCATCCTGACATCATTAGATGTTGTTTGCTTGGCTGGTGAGGACCAACTGTGGCAGCTTTATCCGGGATACTTGGCAAACATGTTGTAAGCTAAATCCCTGCCAAGCCTCTCTTTCTCTGAGAGTATTCAAGCCAAATGGGAGTACCTTGTATCCATTTAGGTTGCTCTGTCACGCAGCTTGCTCAGCCAGCCTGGAGGAATGGCCATTAAAACCCTGCCCAAAATATTTTCAGGAGCACGGTTCCAAGAAACAGGTAGTCAAAAACACGGGAGGGCTTGGCATTGCTGCTGCCTTGCTACAGGATGGCAGAATTCACATGTACTCCTCCACTTTGTTTGCAATATGTCTCCAACTCTGACACTGTAAACTTTGCAAGGTTTGGCAGCTTGTGGTTTAACACCTTTAATTTTATGCACTGTGAGTGAGCACTGGGCTTACAGAATCACGTTAGGAAACTTTATGCCAGGCTATGTAAGGCCATACTTCCCTAGCGTGGGTCTGGAGAAGGGCTGTGCTTGGGATGTGCCGGACAGCATCCCTGCGCTGCTAGGCAAGACGGCGTGTTAGGGCACAGTTGTGCTGGATAAATATCCTGATCAGGTGAGAGCACTTTACTCAATATCATCAATAAAAGGCTTCATTTGGACTAACCAAGCTAAACGTGTTTTAAAAGCTGATAAAAACTACTTTAGATGATCTGTGTAGTGAATGGGGCCTCTACAACAGCTCGCGGAATTTGCTGGCTCTGCCTCAGACACTTATCCCAATCTGTCATTGCTTGCGAGAAAATGCCTTGCACCACAGCATTTTTTTTTGTGGACATTGCAAACCAAAAAAAAAAAAGCAAGAAACCCCTAATCAAAGCCAAAGCCAGTTCCCCTTTCAGTTGCACCAGTGCCCATCTGTGGGAGCTGCCCCACTGGCGTAATGGTGACTCGGTCCTGCAGAGGGGAAGATTACTTTGTGTTACTGTGGATGTGGTGTCCAGCTTACCTGCCCTGCAGTGTGAAGAGTGCAGAAACTCCAGCTTTCATTCTTCGCATTCCTCCTGCCCGCACGGCAGCAGCTAGCCCCGCTGCTTCTCCTGGCCCAAAACACCTGCTGGCACGGCCGGGTGCTTGCAGAGCTCAAGCGAGCACTCGAGCGGTGTTTCTCAAGTGTTTGCTACTCTCGGTAGAT